GATGAGAAAGTTATTAAAAATCTGAATTTTCGTACAAGAACCCCCCCCCCCCGGAAAAGAAAGGCCCACTTCATTTCAGGGTTTTTTTTTTAAAAGACCCATTTGAAATTCTTTCACCTGCATATCATATATATATATATATATATATTACAGGGTGTATCAAAAATACTTTTACAAACTTTGGGGGCGGTTTCCTCATGACAAAACAAGGACAAAAGTCCATATAAATATATACCCGCAAATCCTTCGTTTTTGTGTTAAGTTCAAAGAAAGTTTACGGTAGATGGCACTGTGTTGCCATTTAGACATGGTTACATTCGTTATTCGTGTAAATTTGTGGCTAGTCTGTCTTCAACGTTTAACGTGTGTAGTGGTGATTTAATTGAGATGTGTTCCGTTTAAAAATAGGAGCATATTCATATCGTGAGCAGGCGGATATGATTTTTTACATACAGCCGCACAGATGGCAATGTATGCGAGGCTGTATGAGATTGCGTTACCAAACTGAAAGTAGCCGAGTCATCCAACTTTTTCCGCTGTTTATCGTCGCGTTGCTGTGGCACCACAAACTGTAGTCGGGCGTACGAGCGAAATCCGTTCGTACGCCCGACTTCGAAGAACACATTTTACAGGCTGTCGGGGACTTTCAAGGTGTCAGAACGCGTCAAGTGACCCTCGCATGTTTTACATCGCATAGTACCGCATGGAGGATATTTGAACTGAAGCTCCTGTATCCGTATCATTTGCAACGTGTGCAGGGTCTTTTGCCCTCTGACCACTCACCACGAGAGAACTTTTGCCGATGGTTTACTACACAAACTGTCGATCCGTTGTTTGTCTCTTCAGTTTTGTTTACGGATGAGTGAACATTTGGAAGAGATGGAATAGCAAATTTTCACAACCAACATTTGTGGGCGGATCGGAATCCCCATGGTATAATACAGGCTCGACACCAACATCAGTTGGATCATTGTGTGGGCTGGAATTGTATGTGACTGTCTGGTAGGTTCATATGTTCTCGTCTTATAGGAACTGTCTACAGGAACTTTATTTCGAACACACTTCCAGAGCTGCTAGAGGATGTACCCCTGCTAATACGAAGAGTCATGTGGTTCATGGTGGATGAGGCTCCAGCATATTTTAGTCATTATTATTTGCAATGCACTGGTTGACATCTACTATGACTGATGGAAAAGTAAGAGAGGACCGGTTTCATGGACTGCACGTTCCCCGACCTTAGACCTTTGGATTTATACAGGGTGACCCCCCAAAAACGGGAATTTTTGAAGTGCATATTGCCAGACATGAGCAAGTGGCAACACTGCAAGAGAGTGACCTTTGTTGCAGTTTTTTGTGTATATTATCTACTAGTGAGCCAGTCCAAATGACTTGACTCACTTTATAGTCCACCAATAGAAGGTTAACCAATCAGAAGACGTAGAATATTCAATCCGTCGTGTATAAAGGCGGCCATTTTGTTTACTCTATCCGAATGTCCAGTACCAGCTTGTCAGACGAAGAGGACGAGAAGGAATAACTACGCTCTGCTACTTTACCGGGATATCCACTGCTAACCTGAACAACGCTCTCCTACTGTCTTCGAAATATTCACTGCTAACCTCTGGATTCTATACTCAAAGACGACCGTCATCATGAACAACAACCTTGAGCAAGTAAACATTTCGCCATTTAGAATTCAAGATGAAATTCACAGTATCCTAGCTGAGATGTTGCAGCAGACAATGAGGAATCTCAACAGCAGATTTCAAGAATGCATTCGTACAGGAGGACGCCATCTACAGGACGTAATTTTTAAAAAATGAAAATTCCATCATTGTTTCTTAAATGGCATGTTTTAAGGTTTCAATTACTATGAATAAAATATTTTTCTTCCATCACTCTTGATTATATTGGATTGTTAAAAAGTTCCCGTTTTTTTTTGGTCACCCTATATATGTGGTGATCCCCTAAAACAATTGGTTCATGCAGCAGACATTAATAATGCAGAGACGCTTCCTCAACGTGTCATGGGGGCCTGCGAAACCATTCGACACCGTGTGGCAATAGTCCGCCAGTCAATGATCCGACGGGTGGAAGCGGAGGAATTTTTGAACAATTGTTATGAGTTGCTGTGTTGAGGTACAACGATGGCCTTTTGAACACACACACACACACACGCATATATATATCTTTAGGAAGTGCATTAAATCTTACATATTTTTTAATTAATCACTTTAAACGTTATTTTAAATGGATACTCAGATTTGAATAGATGTTCTGTTTTTTTAAATTTTTTAAATTTTTTATTAAACAGTATATTTACTTATTTACATCTACCAACCTGAATACTCAGGAAATCTTCTTATTAAAATATGCAACCCACAGCAGAATTCGAAACTGCGTCCCCTAGGGTAAACTGCCATCAGATGTGACGTACCTTAGACAAACTTGACCATGTACAGAGCATCTACTCAAATATGTGTATCCATTTAAAATAACAGCTAAACAAATGCCAAATCGCTTGGGTTTCGATCCCGACCAGAAGCAATCGAATGTCTAGCCACACTGATGAGCTGTGATACAGCGAAACAGGCCTGAATGTGGATGATATATATATATATATATAGTTTGTCACTTAGCTGATTGATGCTATTTTCAGCTTCTCGACTCCAGAGTTTCTTGGAAGATCCTATTTGTAATCGCTCGATCCACTCGTCAGGAGGTGCCAGTAATTGCCAGCAGATTTTCTCATTTTCGTTTTTTTTTTTGGTGGGGGGATTAAGTTAAGAAATACTTTATATACATTTTGGGGGTGGTGTTAGGTTGATTTTTTTCTTTGTGTGTGTTGGGCTGAGGTGCATGTGTATGTGTGTACTCTTTTGTGTCTGTGTTTTAGCCTGTACGTGTGTGTGTATGTGCACATGTGGGGAATATCATGCTTATATCTTCTTTTCACCATTTTCTTTTTTACTCTCGCCATTTATTTTCCCTCGTTCTTTCTTTCCTTCGGCTCTGTATATATAAATGCATAATATAAAACACATACCACCATTTTGTTATCTCGTCTCTCTCTCTTTTCAAATATACTGACACATATAAAAGATTACGTCGGAATAACATGGAAATTTGGCCAAAATAAACGATTGCTTCAACGCATGTGGCACTTCATCGTGCCTTGATATGCACCAGGCTGAATATTTGCAATTCAGTATCATTTGCCATTGGAGCTTATCAACATTCATACTAATTTATTCAGCTCGAGAAAACAAATAGGCGAATAGAATAAAATGTATTTTGCTCGCATGTCTTTTTTTTTCTGTAAGGTGATTCTGTGAGTGTTCAGCTATGTGTGTGACTGATAAAATAGAAATGTTTGCAAACAGGTACTAATCCTCCGTCGAGTGGTTGAGAGTATCCAGCTTTGTACGCGAATGCAATAAAGCAAATGACTGAAAGTTTCCGTTTTGTGGTTGAAAGCAAAAAAGTATAGACATAAGTTCGGTTTATAGTTGGGTTAAAAAAAAGCAGATCAACATTAGTCAGTTTTTACAGGTGAGTCAAACAGTTTTTAGTTGAAGGAAAAATGTAGACATTGCCACATTTTACAACTGAGTCAAAAAGGCAGACATAGACCCGGTTTAAAGTATAGTTAAAAAGGTAAATATTCCCCTGGATTGTAAAAATGTAGATATAGTTACTGTTTACACTTGATTAAGAAAAGTAGACAATGGTCCCGTTTACCCTTCAATCAAAAAGGTAGACATTATTCTGGCATACTCTTCAATCAAAAATTTAGGCATTGGTCCGTTTTATAATCGATTCAAAAAGGTAGACATCGGTCCAGTTTACACTTGAGTTAAAAACGTAGGCATAGACCCGGTTTGAAGCTTAATTAAAAAGGTAGATATTGCTCTGGTTTGTAAATGTGGATATAGTAACGTTTTATAATTGAGTAAGAAAAGTAGACATCGGTCCAGTTTACACTTCAATCACAAACGTAGAAATTAATCCGGTTTACAATCCAATCTAAAAGGTAAACATTGGTTCGATTTATATTTTAATAAAAAATGTCGACATTGGTCCAGTTTACACTTCTATCAAAAAGGTAGACATTGGACTGCTTTTCATTTGAATCAAATATTTAGACATTGGTTCGTTTTACACTTGATTTAAAGATGTAGACATTGGTTCGGTTTAAACTTGAATTAAAAACGTATACATTAGTCCGGTTTACACTTCAGTCATAAAGGTGGACATCGGTCCAGTTTATACTTGAATCAAAAAGGTAGACATAGACCCGGTTTAAAGTTTACTTAAAAATGAAGATATTGATCTGGTTTGTAAAAATGTGGATATAGTATAGTATGGTTTATAGTTAAGTAAGAAAGGTAGACATTGGTTCAGTTTACATTTCAAGCAAAAAAGTTGACATTCATCCGGTTTACAAATCAATCTAAAAAGTAAACATAGGTTCGATTTGTACTTTCAGTGTAGCCATTGGTCGAGGTTACATCTCTATCAAAAAGATAGACATTGGTAAAATAAAGTAACAAAGAAAGACATTGGTCCGGTTTACATCTCAATAAAAAAAACGGTACACATTGGTCCGGTTTACACTTGAGTCAATAAAGTTGACATAAGTCCGGTTTATATCGGAATTTGGCTCCTTTTCGAAGGTCTTACCCCTGTGCAGGGGATGCACTCCCCTCTCTCTCTCTCTGTGCGTTCTAAAACCCGACGACCGAGAAACTATAAATCGAGACTTCATTTTTATGTGGAACTCTGATAAAGCTAAAGACGGTTAGTGACCTTCGGCCTGATGGTTGAGTCTAACCGGCTTTGTTCGTGATTCAGATAAAGAATGGTGGCTAATTATATTCTTTCTAGGGTTTGGATTATTCGGTTTTGTGCGTGACTTTGATAAAAAAAAAAAAATAATAAAGGCGTCTAGTGATGTTCCGTTTAAGAATTAAAATATTCCTTTAAACAAGAAACTACTTTCATCTGATCGGCTGTGATTGAAAAAAAAAAATAAAGAAAAAAAGATGGCGCTGTTTAGCATACTCTCTCATTTTCTGATTGCTTGACTCTTTCGTTACTTCCCTTGTGTCAATTGTCCGCCTCCGTGACAGTGTCTATTAGTGAATTCTTTTGCACATTAGGCAGGCTTGCCAGTAAATATACAAATACTTCTTATATGTTTTCATGCCAAATATACGTAATCCTGACACATGCTGAAGTTCGATTATAACATTACGTGCTTTTCTTTCATTTGAACACGTGTAAACTTAACGTCCCCTTTTGATCTGTCGTTACCCAATATATTAAATTTGTATTACTAAATGTATTACAATTGTGGTATGCGAGTCACGTCAGGAAATACGAGAAGTCTGAGTCTAATTTAATGACAATCAAGAATCTTTAATCGAAGAGGATTTGAACTGATGATTCATTGTAATATATACATATACATGCATATATATATATATATATATATATATATATATATATATATATATATAGGCAGCAAATTTTCATTGATGCATGTTTCATTAAATAATATAGACAAATTGTTAAAGTTGTAAAGAGTGATACAATAACTTGGACCGATTTTAAAGCGTAGAAAGATTAACAAGCAAACAACGTGTTAAAGTTATTGAAGCCTATTACGAAAATGAACGTTCAAACAGAATTTGAATGAGAAGTTCCCAGGTCGTATCATCTCTCGAAGCAGCGATGTCAATTGGCCATCACGATCGTGTGACGCATTTAGATTTCTTCTTTTGGGGACATCTCAAAAGTAAGGTCTATGCCAACAAGCCAACAATAATTCAACAGCTGAAAGATGAGATAATTAGGCATATTGGTGAGATCGAGGAGTAGCTATGCAGAGACATCATCAAAAATTTTGACCAACGAATGGAGGTGTGCCACCGAAAGCTTGGTGGATATTTGGGCGATATTATTTTTCACGCATAATTGCCATGACTTAAATAACATGATCCAATAGAGAAATAAATAAATTTTCACCAATAAGACTGATTTATTTACTGCTGACTTTAATCCGTCTTAATGAAACACTCTTTATATATATATATATATATATATATATATATATATATATTGATGCATGTTTCATGAAATAATATAGACACGTTGTGTCTTTTTATTTTAAGTAAGTTATTTCCTATTGTCTGATACGTTTAATAACATTATCATTGAAAGACGAAAGGAAATCACCATATTGATACATGTTTAAATCTGTTCTAAGCTTTCGGCTTACATAAGCCATTATCAAAGATGACAATTACATTTCAATATATCAACCAATACAGAGACGAAACAATAATGATAGTCTGTTTTTGTTGCACGAAAAATTTCAAAGCAACGACAAACTTGTGTATACGAGACGCGGAAGTGAAAATCGCATTGCAGCTCGTGACGTCACACATAACCACGTGAGAGTGAAAACGAGAAGTATTAAGTATGGAAAGCCGTTGGTCTGTATCAATATGGTGATTTCCTTTCGTCTTTCAATGATAATGTTATTAAGTTTATCAGACAATATAAAAGGAACTTACTTAAAATAAATAAACACAACTTGTCTATATTATTTAATGAAACGTGCATCAATATATATATATATATATATATATATATATATATATATATATATATATACCGTTGCGACACAGAAATTACAATGTTTCGAAACTGGTCAGCAGTTAATCAGGCCTTATTGGCTCAAGGGTATATCGAACCTATGTATGCCTTTTTGACTCAAAAATAAACCGGTCTTATATCGACCTTTTTAACCTGACATTTGTCTATATTTTTGGTTTCCCTGTTAATCAGGCCTTATTGGCTCAAGTGTATATCGAACCTATGCATGCCTTTTTGACACAAAAATAAACCGGTCTTATATCGACCTTTTTAACCTGACATTTGTCTATATTTTTGGTTTCCCTGTTAATCGGGCCTTATTGGCTCAAGTGTATATCGAACCTATGCATGCCTTTTTGACTCAAAAATAAACCGGACGTATCTAAATGTTTGGATCTAGTATAAACCGGACTTTTTTTTAAGCATTTCACTCCAAGCAAATCGGAATGACACTAGCACGCAAGGGGGTGACAGAGAGTGGGAGCAAGAGTAAGGAGGCATGATAGAGGAAAGGATGAAGAGAAGAACAGGGAATAGATCAAGGCATCTGGAGATGTCGATTGACATTGCAATTGAATAGTTGGAGGTTATAGGTATTAGGGAAGCAAGTAAGAGGATGGGAGTTCCACAGAAACATTCTATTTGTAAAATTTATTTCGATTTAATATAACTTTGTATTGAAGTTTATTTAGTATTATTAAGATCTTATATCGATTAGTTAGTATTATTAACATCTTGCATCGATTAGTTAGTATTCTTAACATCTTATATGGATTGCTATTTACTTAACGGTTGCATATTAATTTGCCAAAGTAGTTTTTTATTTATGACTTATTTTTTTAAACGTTTATTTACCAATTTCTTAAAGGGACCCTTTATTTATCAACTGCAAAATTTTATATACGTAGGTGACCGAGCATAAAACTAGATAGCATTATGTTAAATTACCTCCCTACCCCTTTCGTTTTTAATTCTTAGGAAAGTTGAACATCATGCTTCTATATATCTTACGTAATAATGTAACCATTTGTATCTGTCCATAATGGAATTGTCTAGTATTTATATGCACCAATGATGTCATGATCTATATAATAAATTTTTTTTTCGATGAGTTTGAATTTAGGGTAGGTCACATTCGATTAGTTAACCATGGTAAAGCCCAAAAGCCTTTTTAATTATTTTTTTTCTCGAGAAAAAGAGAGGGAGTATTCTATTTTTTGAAGTTAAAACAATCGTTCACTCGCCAGTAGTTTAACATCATCCGAGGAGACACATTTTTAGAGTTGAAGCATAATTGTAATTGTGTAGCTATTTTTAACATGTTTTTGTTTCAATATTCTAAAATAAATAAAATTATATATATATATATATATATATATATATATATCAACAGACTGAGATAGATAGATAGATAGATAGATAGAATTAATACAAGTATAAAGTTTGTCACTTAGCTGATTGATGTTACGTTAAGCATCCCGACTCCATAGTTTCGTAGATGAACCCTCCAGAAAAATCAATTGACTATTTATATTTCTTGAGTTTTCTTATCTCTTTCTTTCTTTCTTTCTTTCTTTCTTTCTTTCTTTCTTTCTTTCTCTCTCTCTCTCTCTCTCTCTATATATATATGTATGTGTGCGTGTGTGTGTGTGTGTGTGTGTGTGTGTGTCTGTGTGTATTTCTGTCAGAATTTCTGGGATGAGAAGTTATTATTATTTACGCTATTCATATTCGGACTATTGTCCCCATCTTTGCTGTTTTTATCAGAACGATTCGGTCGTTGTGTTCTCCGGACTTCATCATCAGTGTAAACTACAGGGAATTTCGAACTGAACCCTTTATTTAATACACTGAGGCCGGGGGTGGTTAGACTGTTCTCATTTCTCTGTCCATGTCTAGGGATATCTCGTCTAGTTCTTACTTTTAGTACTTCTCGCCCGTTTCGACCGAGTCCAAGTACACACTGCCCCACCCAGGGATTGAACTCAATCATTATGCTGCCATAGGTTATCCAGATCGATATACACCCGTGGAAGACCGGACGGCACAACGGCCGAAACGTAATGATAAAAACAACAAAGATGATGGCAATAGTCTGAATATAAATCGTGTAAGGAGAACTTAAACCATCTAGACAAGAATATTAATAAAATCAGGTGGTACAATTACATGAGTATCGAGAAGGAGACTTACTGTCACTTAATCTCTAGTCAGAGCAAAGAGATACACGTCGGGTGGGAGCTCAGCGAGGACAAATAAGAACTGTAGCAATAATAATAATAATGATAATAATAATAATAATAAATATAAAAGTAATAATAACAATAATATCAGGTTTATTTTTTCGGAGTGGAGAAATCGCTTAAAACCTGAAAAGTTAGTGTCGTTTCTCCACCTGCGGGACAAAGCCTTTCAGCGAATTCTTTTGTGCTTTAGGCGGGCCGGTTGGGACTTATACAACGCATTGTGGTGTCGGGAAGGGCCGACGTGATGATGACAGATTAACGCCCATACGACGAGCTCTCTCACCAGATTTGTTCCATTTCCTAAAAGGGAACAATGTCTTTGCAGAACTGCTGTTCCAAAATGACAGGCATTGAAATCGCCAAAGACGTCCACCTCTCCATCCTGCCTTCTTCTTCTTCTTCTTCTTCTTCTTTTTCTCTCTCTTTTTATTTTTCTCCCTCTCTGTTTGCCGGCCTGCCTGTGTTTCTGTCAGTCTGACTGTCCGTCTATCCATATCTATTTTATTTTATTGCTGTCTGTTCTCGTGCGATCATATCTATGTCGGTCGCTCGATCAGTTCACATGAATTTTATTCATTCCATTCACATCTATCTATCTATCTATCTATCTATCTATCTATCTATCTATCTATGTCTATTTTGTGGTATCTATCTATCTATCTATCTATGGGCGCGTCGCCGAGCGGTTAGAACGTTCGCTTTCTGATTATCTATCTATCTATCTATCTATCTATCTATGTCTATTTTGTGGTATCTATCTATCTATCTATCTATCTATCTATCTATCTATCTATCTATCACAGTTGAAATGGTTAGATGCAATCGTAAGTTCTAAGCTAACAGTTTCATATCTCGCACTTCTCACCTGTGGAACTCTTTCCCAACCTCTTACTTCCCAGTCAAATTTGATCTTCAAAAATTTAAATGCAATGTCAATCGCTATCTTCTGCCTTCCTGATTCCTGTTCTTTTAACAGTTATTTTCTTTTTCTCATATTCAATCACACTCAGTAATCTTTTGCGTCTTAGTGGCTTTGCATGGGGCGAGATGATTTAAAAGGGTGAGTGTATATATCTATATAAGGATGAATCAGTATGCTTTCAGCTTAATGTCTTTTTTTTTTAATCATCTACCCTTTTCACCTGTAAAATGACGAGACCTTACCGCCAATCTAGTACTGCACTTAAATTCATAAAATCTTGGTAGGATAGAGGAAAGTTCATCAGAACAATTACCATGAAAGTATTTATAGAAAAGCACTGGAAAGCGACGTCATCTATCTATCTATCTATCTATCTATCTATCTATCTATCTATCTATCTATCTATCTATCTATCTATCTATAACTCTTTTCAATCCTATCTATCTGTCTCTCTGTCTATCTATTATCTATCTATCTGGTTATATCTAGCCATTTCAACTGTAAAAGGCCGAAACCTTTCCACCAATCTAGTACCGCACTTAAATTCATTAAGTCTAGGGAGAATAGGGGAAAGTTAATCAGAACAATTACCAGGAAAATATTTATAGAAAAGTCACAGGGAAGCTATATTACGGCGGTAGGAAAGTGACTAAAGTCGAGATGCCAGGTTAGGACCAATAACATTGCAGATTCTTCTTTGGATTTTATCAAGAATCTCTAAATATATAGCAGGAGCCCAGAACCAGAAGTGGTGGCAATATTCAAAGCAAGGACGAATGGTAGACATAGATATCTATAATTCTCAAAATGTGTATGTGTGTGTGTCTGTGTGTTATCGGATGTTGTTTATGCATTTTCGATTTTGATGAATTCTTTTTTGTTTGATAGATAATTCTTCAGTGCCGGTTTTGAGTCCAAATTGTTGGCGATAATGGCTCTCCACTACTTCCTGTCCATTATAACTCTCAGCAATGTTTTACTATTTATTATCAGCTCTTGGATATATATCTTTCATAAAAACTTTAATAAAAATAAATATTTTAAATTATTACAATAATATTATTCATTATTATACAGTTCCTTTTTTCAGCCCCCACTTCAAATTGTTACCCCCCCCATATTGGGATGTGCCTCAGTTGCACCCAAATGTTGTTACTAATATTGATTTTCGGGTGAGCTGACTTTAAACTTAAACTGCTCCAACTGAACAGCAAAAAATTTACAGCAATGAAAGACCCGGGCGAAGTCGGGTTATACTGCTAGAAGATAGGTTCTGACGAAAAAAATCGTCTAACACGCCGTAAGGAGACAACTTTCTTACCAGCATGTCTAGTAATTGATTCAATATAATCTTTCCTCTTCATATCAGCGTAAAGCGTTAGTCTGAGAACTTGCGATGAGTCACTCTCCTGGAGGTTAGCATTAGTCCTGCTGATGGAAGGTAAAAAGCGTTCTCTGGGGAATTAAAAGCGAAAAGTTTCGTTTTGGTGGCGTTAAGATTAACAAGCCATTCCTTGCCTTAATTAACAACAGAATGTAGATCATTTTTGAGATCAGCTGCCAATTTCACCTTATCGAAACGCTCAGACTTAGTATTAATGAAAACAGGACTAAATACAGTTATAAATTAATTTCTTACTTACATTATTTACATTATTCGGACTGTTATCCTCATCTTCATTGTCATATTCAAAATGTTTCGGCCGTTGTACGCCCCGGCCTACTTCAGGTGATTGGAATTTCGAATCGAGAACTTTATTTCGTCCAGCGGGGTAGATTGTTCTAGTTCCACTTGTCGCGTCTCTTCCGGGTATCTCAGTTATTTCCCTTTAACTCAACTCGCCAAGTTTGGTTGACCATTATTTTGGCCTGGTATTGAATTCACGACTCTTTCAAGAACGCCGGAGCAAACAACGGCCGAAACGTTGTGAATATGGCGATGAAGATGAGGATAATAGTCCGAATAATGTAAATAATGTAAGTAATCATAATATCTCATCTCAGAGATATAGACAGAAATTGTTTTTTTTTATTTGTAATTTTAACTCGATAATGTCATTTAATTCAAATTTCCGCTGTCATTTTTATGGCTACTACGCTGGTTTAAAAATAATTCCAGCAGCTATTTTTATTCCTGTCCAACACCTGTTCACCTTGCTTGTAATTCATTAATTATAGCATTCTGAATCTATTATGATTATTTTAGCGGCTGAGAATCGGGGTGGGAATTCTTTCCGAGTTTAATTTTATGAATGGACGATTGATTAACATTTCTCCCAGCGACAGAGTTCAGATATTTTTTCTAATATGGGACAGCCTTGAATGAAAAAAAATGATTACAGTGTAACCCGGATATAAGAGAGTTGTCGGGACCGGAGAAGAAGTCACTTATATCCGGCTTTCTCTTATATCCGGGTTGGGTCTAATTTATATACATTAACACAGGCTCTAATTTGGGACCAGAGAAAATCTCTCTTATATCCGGGTTTCTCTTATATTCGGGTTACACTGTACTTTACATTCTCAAGCTGTTTTGCTCATGCCCAGAAAGACGCATAAAGATTCCCTTACATATGAGATCTGTTCGAAAAATGATCCAACCCAATTTATATTAACGGCAGTGTTGCCTACCTAGGCATCACAGTTCTCTTCAGTTTACTCCGCTTGGATTCCCCACGCACTTATCTCGGCATCATTTCCAGTTTTCTGCCCGCAAAGTGCCCTTTGGAGACTGTCCACCGTCTGCCTCGTCCCACGGTCTGAAACCCTTTTAACGGCGATAGCAAGAAATAGCAGAGAGCGAAATTTGAACTGTAAGGCATTGAAAGACCTGGGTGTTACAATATTTTGTAATAAATAAATATAAAAACAAAACCAAGCCTACACGAGACGTGAAGAATATATCAGGTCATCCGATAAGTTTTGTCCGAATTTTGAATAAAGAAAACAAGTGACCAAATGTTACATTCAATTACAGATTCAATCAACAATGTATTTTCCCTGATTATCTATGACTCCCTTCCATCTATTAACAAGCTTTCTAATTCCATTACTGTAAAATTCTTTTGGCTTTGATTCGAAGAACTCACAAATGTCAGTTTTAACCTCTTCCCGTGTTACAAAAGCTGTTTCTTCCAAATGATTCTGTAAGCTACGAAACAAATGGTAGTCTGAAGGAGCAAGATCGGGAGAATAAGGTGGATGACGAATTTTCTCCCAACCAAGTTCTTCGATCTTTTGTGACGTGATTCTTGCTGTGTGGGGTCGCGCATTGTCCTGATGAAACATCACCTCTTTTCGGTTCACTAGAGCAGGTCTTTTTTTCCTCAAAGCTTGGTTCAAACACTCTAATTGCTGACAGTATATTTGAGCATTAATTGTTGCATTAGGTGGTAAGAATTCAAAGTGGATTATTCCTTGGCGATCCCACCAGATTGAAATAAGAACCTTTTGTCCATGAAGTTCCTTCTCGGCTGTGGCTGGGGTCCTTCCCTTTACCAAGCCACTGTCTACGATGTTAACATTTCGATAAAGATCTATTTTTCGTCGCCAGTCACAAGTCTATCCAAAAAAGGTGAAACAAGTTGGCGAGAATGGAAAGAAGAGATGTCAACTCGGGATTTGAGGTTGTTTTCAGACAATTCATGAGGCACACATTTTCCAAGTTTATGAACTTTTCCAAGTTGTTGAAGATGACGATGAACAGTTGTATGGTTTAAACTGAGAACCACTGCCAATTCCTCAACTGATAAAGCAGGATTTTCTTCAAGGGCTGCTTCAAGAAGCTTTTCATCAAACTCAACTGGACGTCCGGTTCGATCTTCATCTTCAAGGGTGAAATCTCCACATCTGAATTTTGCAAACCATCTTCTGCAAGTTCTTTCATTCACACATTCCTCTCCATAAACTGAGGGAATGTTTCTAGCCGCTTCGGCTGCTGAGTTTCCTTTCTTGAACTCATAAAGCATTATGTGTCTCAAATGATTCTTGGGTACTTCCATGTTAGCAGGGTTTTAATCAAACAAAATTTAATTTTATTGTTCTCTGGAATCAAATTTGATCAGTTTAAATGCATCTAAACATAAAAATAATGTTCAGCTCCATTAGACATTACAAAATACTCTTTCAATTTCGTTCATTTTAAAAAGAGGTAAAAACTTAATTTATGGGATGACCTGATATTTACTTGGTTATTGTGAAGGAAATGGTCACAAAATACATAAGCTCACTTAATTGTGCCTCACAAGCGATTGAGTAACCCCTCAAGAGAACGTCTGTTCGTGCATACGCATTGTTGCTACAATTTTAACCTCTTCAAATTAAAATCTTAACCTCTTCTAGTTAAGGGCAGATCGTTATCTATATCCTGTCTTCATAATCTTACCCATTCGTTTTTCCGTCATATCACACACCTAATTCATTATAACCATTTTAACGGTAACCCTTCTACCCTAAAAGGCTCTCAGTATAGGGTGTAATTTTGTATTAAAAGTCCCCTCTGTTTAATGGTTAATTAAAGTGAAGAAAAGTTGGATATTTTCAGGACAGATCGTATCGACGGGAGAATTCGTTGGTCTCCTACTAAACTAACGGCATTGAATATTTAGGCGCCTGCTATAGAGCAGTTGTCACATAGACTCAGGAACATTATTTACATTTATTCGAACTATTGTCCTCAGCGTTGTTGCCATATTTATCACAACGTTTCGGCCGTTGTACACTCCGGCCTTCTTCAGGTGGTTGTAATGTCGAACTAAACCCTTTATTTTGCTCGCTGGGGTAGATTGTTCTAGTTCCACCTGCCATGTTTAATGGATGTCATTTACCAGTTATCTCCAGTTAATTCACCTCTCCTAGTTCTCCACTGCCATAAACAGGTATTGAACTCACAACTCTTTGGGTCCTGTCACTGGATCTAACTAACTAGAACAGTCTACCCTAGCGAGCAAAATAAAAAGTCCAGTTCGATATTTCAACCACCAGAAGAAGGCCGGGGCGTACAACGGATGAAACGCTGTGATAAATATGGCAACAGATATGAGGACAATAGTCTGAATAATGTAAATAGTGTACATAATACCTCATCTCAGAAATATAGACAAACCCTGAAAGGCCGAAACGTTGTAATAAATATGGCAACAGATATGAGGACAATAGTCTGAATAATGTAAATAGTGTACATAATATCTCATCTCAGAAATATAGACAGATACTGAAAGGTCGAAACGTTGTAATAAATATGGCAACAAAGATGAGGACAATAGCCTGAATGTAAATAGTGTACATAATATCTCATCTCAGAAATATAGACAGATACTGAAAGGCCGAAACGTTGTAATAAATATGGCAACAAAGATTAGAACAATAGTCTGAATAATGTAAACAGTGTACATAATACCTTATCTCAGAAACATAGACAAGTAGACTCAAGAATTACTCCGATAAAGTGGCCTTGTGTCAAACTACGATTAACGTCAGTTGGGTATTAATTATTTTTCGTCCCACGGTCTTTTTCTCACGGATAAAATAACATGTCTATCGCTACTCTATTCAAACAAGCTACAATTTTAGTTCCGCCAGTCCAGACCTTTACAGTCAGGATGCCCTTGCCACATACAAATGGCCGAATAATCTTTATTCCCTTCATATTCCATTCTTAAGAAGGAACCTCCTTCCTGAGAACGGCTACTTTGTGGATTGATTGATTAACTTGTTTTTTTTTACCCTTTTAAAGCTATTTAAAGCCGAAACATATCCGTAAGAATTTTTTGAAGATGTTAATGATTTTCTGATGCAAATATTACTATTTAACCCATAGCTGGGAGAAGTGGGTTCATACTTTTCCCAAGGGTATTTGGGCGTAATCGAATATAACGAACTTGACTAGAATTCGAACTCGGCTGTCCGAGTTCTCACTCCGAGCCTATATTCATTGTCCCACCCGCACATCCAAGCTTACAGCACCTCGTATTCCCGAACGGTCACCCGTCTTGGTTACTAGCCAGGTTCAAGGTTGCTGAACTTCGGTGATCGGTACTGTGTGGAACGGAGTCCCAAGAAGAGGCATTCTGATCACTAGAATTTTACCCTCTTCAAATCTAGGGTCAACCGTTATCTTACATTTTTTTTAATCCTTTCCTCCCAAGCAACGTGGAGATGCCACTAGTTCGTAGGGGGTTATAGGTAGAGAATGTGAAAAAGAAGACAGGTAAGAGGGAGGATCTAGGAAAGGACAAAAGATGAACGGGATTCAAGAAGATAGAAGATGCCAATTGTCGCTCCATTTAAATTTTTGAAGATTGTAGTTATCAGGGAAGCAAGTAAACGGAAGGGAACTCTACAGTCGGGAAGTGTGAAAGAAGAAACTGTTGGAGTAGAAGTGGCGGTTGCATTTAACTATTTTAGCAGCAAAAGAGTGGGACCTAGTTGCCAACCAAGTAGCACGTTTAAATTTATGTAGTCGGTGCACCAGGTAAAAAAAAGCTCGTTAGAGCAGTTGCTATGAAAATATTTGCAAAGAAGACAGGCAGAGGCCGCACCCTGTCGTTGAAAAAATGACTGAAGTCGAGATGCCTGCACAGGATCGATTACATTACAGATCCTTTCTTTAGATTTTTACTCATAATCTACACTTCTTCCGCTTAAGTTCATAAATATATCTTCCGGTAACCCTCTAACTTGAGTGGCTCTCGGGCTTTGTATTAGGTAGACATTTAATAAAAAACGTGAGTTCCTGTCACACTGAGTGAAAAATGATCTGAGCCCTGTATATATATATATATATATATATATATATATATATATATATGAATGATCGCTTCTTCTTCCGCCAATCGCCAGCTATTAGTAAAAAAATTACCGTGGTTGGCAACCAGACCAATTTTGAAGAAGAAGAACCGTGAATTCAAAATCTTGGGAGGACTCTTTAAGAGATGGCGTGAGACAATATTTGCATCGGTTCTCAACATTTAGGTGTTCTAAAAAGTGGATAGTTCTGCACAGGACATGTTCACTATAATAAAATCATATATGCTGACTGTTCGGTTCTAGGAGTTGGATTGTTGGACCCTCATACCTCGAATGCGACGGGAGAGTCCGTCTATCTATCTATCTATCTATCTATCTATCTATCTATCTATCTATCTATCTCAATCCGTTTCTATCTACCTGTCTTTCTATGTATCTGTCTACATTAATCCGTTTTAATCTATCTATCTATCTATCTATCTATCTATCTATCTATCTATCTGTCCGTTTCTATATATTTCTGTTCACATGTATGTATGTATGTATCTATATCAATACGTTTCTATCTATCTGTTTCTGTTCACATCTATCGATCTATCTATCTATCTCAGCCCGTTTCTATATATTTCTGTTCATATCTATCTATCTATCTATCTATCTATCTATCTATCTATCTATCTATCTATCTCAATCCGTTTCCATCTATCTATTTCTGTTCACATCTATCTATCTATCTCAGCCCGTTTCTATATATTTCTGTTCATATCTATGTATGTATGTATGCATCTATCTATCTATCTATCTATCTATCTATCTATCTATCTATCTATCTATCTATCTATCTATCTCAATCCATTTCCATCTATCTATTTCTGTTCACATCTATCTATCTATCTATCTATCTATCTATCTAGTTAGCTAGCTAGCTATCTCTAACCGTCAGATCGTTTCGTTATTCGCATCCACTCGATCAATGAAGGTCATATTAATTTACTTGCGTTAAATAAATATAAACACACACACGCACATGCGCACACACACGCACACACACGCACACACACGCACACGCGCGTACACACACGCACACGCGCGTACACACACGCACACGTTCATCTCAATTTAAAAGCTACAGACATATATATATATATATATATATATATATATATATATATATATATGGAAAGTAGAAGTGAAACCGACAAAGATCGAAAGAGACCAAAGAGAATTGGCAATGTGTTCCCCCGGAAATGCAAAGTCGGATTCCTGAGACAAGTACAATTAAAATAGTGACTCGTTTTGTTCTCTAGATGGAAAGTCGTGTCAACTTCACACAAGTGAAACGCATCAAAGGTCGGCTGGATAAAAAAAAACCCATAGCCAATCATTTTACTCACACTCATTTTCATCTTCATTAGAGATCACTTTTTGGGGGAGTCTAAGAAAAGAAACCACTGGAATATATGAAAAATAATAAAATCGGACATCACTGTCATGTCAAGAATGGTAGCAATCTGTTTGCAGCTATAGATTATAGATTACCTCTATTTTAATTGATGAACAAGTTGTCCTTTGCTTGTCTCTCTATTCCTACATTTATGTATATTCATATATATGTAGAGAAGTAATATAAATAAAAGTTCGTCACTTAGCTAAATAATGTTACCGTCAGCATTCCGACTTCAGAGTTTCGTAGACTTACCCGTCCGTCCACTCTTCAGTGGATATCAGTAATTTTCTGCTCATATCTCATTTTTCTTCAGCTGCTGGGTAGAGACCGTTACATAATTTAAATTTTAATAAAAATATTTGGCTAATGCAGTGCTGTCGCAGTTCATCTATATAATAAAAGCAAATGCCAGTGTGACACTGTCACACTTTTTCAGTTAAAGGGACACAACTCTCTAACTTTCAATAGCTCATGTTACCGAAATTTTTGATTCCCAAGTTTTCATTACAGCGATTTTTTACGTGATTTTTTGCAACGAATTTTTCCGTACGATAACAATTTTTTATAACTTGGAAATAAATTTGGAAATAATCGAAATTAATTGCGAAATCCAGCGAAAGTCACCCATGAAATAAAAATAATTCTTTGTACGGAAAGTAAGGACCTACGTACATCAAATTCTCTTTAAAATAAGTGGTGACAGAAGAATTATCGTTAAACTTTTAAAAGGTAAGTTAATGCAATACTTAAATGCAGTGATCAATTTTGAGTTCTGTAGTTTATTGTTGCCTGTCGCTTACGGCTGCAGTATACCTTGCAAAAAGAAATCTTCGCCAGGAGAGGACCAGACTGCAATGAAAAGAGCCAAGGCTGCAGCTAAGAAAAGAAAGTCCCGTGTAAATGAAAACCCAGATCAAAGGGCAGCCAGGAGAGCTTCCAATGTTGAGAATATTCAAAGTCTGAGAAATTCCCGAACTCCTGAAAAAGCCGAGGGCCCAATCAAATGCCTTCCTTAGGAGCTAGCTCAAATGCCAATCGATAAGGCCGCTTTTAAGCTATATACGGGTATTAAGTGATTTTATTAAAAAAAAACAATATATATTGCATTTAAAATAGACTGAATTTATAATTTCCACTAGTAGCATGGCCCGGTGTTGCCCGTGCTTGATTCAAAAATCGTACGACTCATACAGCAATCGCTATCACTTGACTTAAAATATTTTTGCCCTTCCTTGCCTTTTAATGTAAATAACAACAAATACTTTTTCACATCCAACCCAGTTCTGCGGAATCAGGATCAATGTTGAGTTTAAGCAAGCGAATGAGCCAATTGGAGTAAAGTGCCATGAAGATTTAAATTTTTCCCACTTGTGACGAATGCAGCTATCGATTTTTTTTTGCTAGTTAACATTCGTGTCAGTCAGCTGTTGGCTCTCACTCTGGCCAGTAGAAAATGGCCGCAAACTACATGAAAACTGCCGTAGAAGCATGAAAAAATCGATTATTTCCATTATCGATGGGTGTTGGGAAATGCAAAGTCGGTCTTGGCCTTGCCGCTAACTTGGAGCATGTGCATGTAAATTTTGGTGCAAATCCGTCGAAAATTGCGGCCGTGCATTCGTTACAAACACCCCCCCACCACACACACACATATCCTGCATTTTATAGATATATTTTAAATAAACGGGCATAACTGTTATTTATTTTATATTTAAAATAAACGGGTATAAATTATTTTATTTTATATTTAAATAAACGGGCATAAATGTTTTTATTTTATATTTAAATCAAAATGAGTATAAATGCTATTTAAAAATGTAATATTGTAGACAGACCTAAAATTATATATAAAAAAAGGAAAAAAAACCCTTTAATCCCCGTTTATTTTAAATATAAAACATAAATCCCGCCTATCTTAAATATATTATTTGTATTCAAAATAAATTTTAAAATTTAATATAAATATTTGAAATGG